CATTGGAGCTAATTGTGTTTTTAAAATTATAGGGTACTTCATTCAATTCATTTTAGTAAATATAATCATCTAAATAACTAGGTTTTTAAATTTCCCTAGTACTGCTTTTAGGCTCATACAACTTAGGGGTTGGATCAACTTTAGACTAGCTTTTAACATCAGTTTGTCCTTGGGTTTGGTGATTCCTCTTGCTCATTACCTTTTAAAAGTCTTTATATCGGTCTTTCAAAGTCTTCAAAGAAGAGGGTTTTCCCACTCTCCATAATTTCTTTAGTTTCATTGTTATAAAACTATATCTCTTGGAATCAGTTAAATACCTAACAAATATACACTTGAAACTTTTAGGTCCTAGTTTCGCTCTCTATATATGATGAATATGAACTTGTGCTAAAGAGCCCTATACTCTGAATGGTCTAAACTTGATTTTCTTCCAAACCACAACTTAAAATGTAATACATTAGTCGATTTAGAAGGGGCTATTTCATATGTATATTCTTTTCATGATAGTTTCACCCCAAAAATAATATTCTACACCAGACTCAAATATCATACAATTGACTATATCAATCACAGTTCAATTTTTTCTCTCAGCCATACCATTTTGTTGAAGAGTATATGGTAAAGAAGTTTGCTTATCTATCCCATATTCACTACAATATTGATTAAACTCATAAGATATATATTCTCATAATCTATCACTTTTAAGAATTTTAATTTTCTTATTTAATTGGTTTTCAACTTCAGTTTTATATTTTTTGAACTTATTTAATGTATCATCTTTATGGGTTTAAATAAGAATAAGAATCATCTATTATATTGATAAAATATTTACACCCACCAAGACTTTTTTGTTTTAATTTACCACAAATATCGGTATGGATAATTTCAAGTAAGTTTTGAGCCATTTTGCCCTTAGGAAGTTTTGAGCCATTTTACCCTTAGGAAATAATTTCCTATGTATTTTTCCTTTTAGGTGACTTTCACATTTGAATTTTTCCTTTTCTAAATAAGGGAATAAATTTTCTTTCATTAATCTATTTAGTTTTTGATAACCAATGTGATCAAGCCTTCTATGCCAAACATTAAAACACTCATCATAGGCAAATGTCCTTTTCAGTTTATTATCAATATCAAGGTTGTACATATTGTCGAACAATAAAAACATCATTTTGTTAATAATCAATTTCTCATATTTTACATAGACTTGACATCTACTCCTATCAATCCTAAAGATAGAAAATAAGTTCCTCCTCATATTTGGGATGTACAATACATTAGTAAGAGTCAAAGTGCCACCCGTTGGAGTGGAAATCTAACGGTACCCTCTCCAATAATGTTGATAGTAAACGAGTTGTCCATGTAAAGTTTTCTAGCATTGTCACTTTTTTTTTTTTTTTGAAGTGTACCATATTGTTCTTGGTGTTGAAAATGTGTCGAGTAGCTCTAGAGTCCACCCACCATTCATTCGGGGAACTCACTATCAAGGATTTTTCAATTACAAAAGTAAATCCTTAATGTCACTCGCTTGTCCAGTATCCTTATTCTTGAGTTCCCTGGAATATTTGGCAACATGACCACATTTATTACAATTAAAACAATTATTAAATTTCAAAGAAGTTTGTCCTTAACTTCTCATTCTTATTAGCCATTGTTAGATAGGGTTTCTAGCACTTTCATTCTTCTCCCTAACTCTATCATTTTTTTCTATCCCTAAGTGTCCTCTTAGGTAATCTAAAGCATAGAAAATCCCATTATGGTTCATTTTTTTTTTAAATACTTCACTAAGGAGATTTTCTATAATCTTCATAATTTGTTGATGTTAACTTATGGGTTCACTAAAACCAGCTAGTTGGTTAGCCATGATGCACATATCATCAAAATATTCAAGTATCGATTGATTTTCCTTCATCTTATACATATTATATATTTCATACAATTCACACTTAGGCACATAGTTATCATCATTGTGTATTTTTTCTATAGCAGCTTATAATTGTTAGCATTATCATAGCATTCAAATACTTTATATAGTTTGTCACTAAGGCAATTTAGAATGGCACATCTACCAGTGAAATCATCATTTTTCCACTTAATAAACCTTTGCCTATCTTTAAGAGTTGTATCATCATCAGGTTCATATGGTTTTTCTTCATTAATCACTTATAACAATTCCACAGTATGGAGCAAGGAAAACAATTTACTTTTCCAAATTGAAAAGTTTGAAGCCATCTAATTTCTCTATCTTCACCAAATCGAAAAGAATAATCTTTGTAGTTGCCATTAAAAGTAAAATCGCTCTGATACCAAATGTTAGGAACGATTTAATGTGGCTACTCATCTAGATTAATAAAAAATCAGATTTAGATCAGAATTTGTTTTTTAACCTTATTTGAAAGGGAAAATATCATATTATCCACTATTTTTAACTTCTATATCTTATTAGATTTAATAATTGAAAATATTACTTGTGAGCAAAAAGACTCCGTCATTTCTATCTTCCAACCCCCTAAACCCTTTTGACCATGTATTGGTAACCTCAATAACTTATGAAATGACTATATATATATATATATATATATATATATATATATATCTCTCTCTCTCTCTCTCTACTAACCTAAACCTAACTACTACTCTCTCTACTACTAACTCTACTCTCTACTCTACACTACTAAGTAAGTAGTACGT